TACTTACTAATGGTCTATACATGGTAAAGTTTAACAAAGTTTGAAGAACTGGTAATTCCTGTGTAATGTTTATGTAAAATGGTGCACTTTATTTTACAGTCCTATTTCCATATACTTCCTATGTACGTACTGGTGTATGTACATAGTTAATGTACAGAATAAGTTATGCGGTACTCAAGTTGGGGGGTATAAACATGGACCAAGGTACTTATTGAGTAATTGATGGTAAGTGCCATTGCAGTTTGGAACTTTGGAAGTAGGTTGGGAACACGGCAGTAACTGTGCAGCACTGCATAGTGTTAATACTTAGCAGACACAGTCCTTTTAAATAGGGATTTAGACACATGACAATCAGGAGTTGCAAGTGCAAATATGAGTCTGGTAGCTACTGTATAATTCCAAAATAAAACCTGTGTACACACATAATTATCCCTATTGGACCAATTAGTTAAGAGAATCAGTGTCATTAAAGATAAGGCAAGTTAACTGCAATGGCACCTACCATCAATTACTCCATAGGGTCTTTCGCACCGCTTTAGTTCCAGAACTAAATGTACAGTACTAAAGTACTGGGACGATTTTGCACGAACTATTTCCCAGGGACTTTAAAGGGTTGCATTTGCACCAACAGTGTGTACTAGGAAGTGACGTAAGCTGGGTGACAGCGACGTCATTTGTGCGCAGAGTTCAACAACAGAAACAAAGAAGAACAACGTTAACAACAGGAGGATGGAGGACACTGTGATCGGAGCTGTGTTTTTGTTGTGTCTCGCGGGTTTCACAATAATGGACATGGAATGTCGACGTATACGTAAAGCGATTGAAAGAACGGAAAGGAGGACTAAGAATCTCCAACGACAACTACCAGTGCTACATTTGCTACAAGTGCCTGCACTTCAGTGTCCGTCCATCTATCGCTGTTCTCCATACTTGCGAAATAAGTTGACAAAATGTTTACAGTATGTTTATACAGCGTTTTAAATCATGGCGGGTGAGGGCGTTTTCATTCGCATTTGGCCAATCAATGTCTACTTACGTCACGATTAGTACCAGTTGTGCTGGTTAGACCCTGCTCTGGAGTAGGAGCTAATTTGATTCTCGAAAAAGGCAGTCCGGTACTAAAATCTCACCCAGTTCCGGTGGTGCGAAAACACCAAAAAGTGGGTAGTTCCATAATTAGTTCTGGTACAATGAAAAGGTTCCCGCGGTGCGAAAGGCCCTCATAAGTACCTTGGTCCATGTTTATACCCCCCAACTTGAGTACCACATAACTTATTATGTACATTAACTAATAGGTACATACACCAGTACGTACACAGTAAGTATATGGAAATAGGACTGTAAAATAAAGTGCACCATTTTAGGCAAGGCAAGGCAAGTTTATTTATATAGCACATTTCGTACACAATGGTAATTCAAAGCGCTTTACATAAAAGAAAGTCCAATAATCATAAAAAGAAAAATAATCACAAAAATAAAACAAGGAATTTAAAAACTTTGAAAATGATTTAAAAACTGATTTAAATTGAATTTTAAAAATAGAAAATGATTATTCATACATAAAATACAGTGCAATCAGTTCGGACAACGCGCAGCGCTCATTCAATAAATGCACAGCTAAAGAGATGAGTTTTGAGTCTAGATTTAAATGTGGCTAATGTTTTAGCACATCTGATCTCTTCTGGAAGCTGATTCCAACTGCGGGCGGCATAAGTATAGTAATGTGTCTTATTAGTTACCATATACTGACACTACCTGTTAGTGACCGTTATTACTCACACTTGTTGGTAAGTACTACATATTTACCACGTGTATACCAAGTACAGTATGTGTCTTGTTTGTTACCACATAATACCATATTTTTCCGTAGGTGCTACTCATTTACCATGTACATGTCATTAGTATGTACAGTTATGTGTCCTATTAGTTACCATATATGGTTACTGTAAAGACGTGCCTGTTTGTACCCACTTGTCCGTAAGTACTGCATATTTACCATGTATATACATTAGTAAGTACAGTAAAGTATGTAATTAGTTACCATGTACAGGCACTACCTGTAAGTACCCACACTTGTCTGTATGTACAAAATAATTACCATGCATGTACGACCGTAAGCCGTGTTTCTTATTTGTTACTATATACATACACTTCCGGTAAGTACCTTGTGTTACCACTTATTTGCTTGTAGGTACAAGATATTTACCATGTACTGTATGTACCAGGGAAGTACACGTACTGTAAAATAAAGTGCTACCGATGGATCTAACAGCTGTCCATATCAGCTTACTCACCCTGGACAGTTGTTCCTTCAATGACCAATGGATGGTCCTCGAAGGACATTGTGCCAGTTTTTGATTTGGTTCTTCAGTTGGTAAGAACCCCCATTCACCGTGGGAGAGGAGGACCTCCACCTCACAACTCCAGCAACTCCATTCCTAGAGCTCTACTTCCAGCCCCTTGAGCTCCTAATCATGTTTAAGATGGACACAGAGTCTGCACACACACCCCTACTACTGACCCCCAGCTTGAGGCCTTGTCCATCCCTGATCCAGTGCACATCACTCAGTTCATCGTAGAAGCAGCAATCACTGTATATCCATCCTGGAACTAATCCCCACCCTAATGCCAACCTCTAAAGCCCTTTCTGCGCTGATTGGCTGTCCGCCTTGATTAACTCTCTGGTCTCATCCAGAACCCTAGTCTTTCCCCTTCTGCTGGTTCCATCCAGCATGAAAGCCTCCTCATCAAGGATTTCCGGCTTCACCAGCTTGACCACAGCCTTCTGGTCTGTCAAAACCACTGTGTTCTCTGGGTTTGTTGACTCAACCAAGGTTCTCTGATCCCCTGGCTCCTCCTTGGGAATCCCCACCAGGGTCCCTTTTTCCCTTGGCTCCACTTGGTATGTCGTTCCCTTGGCTCCAGTCTATCCAGCTTTGCCTTGGGTCTCCAGTTCTACCTGGGTCTTCCATTCCCCTGGCTCCATCTTGGTCTTCAGTCTCACCAGCTCGGCCTCAGTCTTCCGAGACCCCAGCTCTGCCTTGGTCCTCCGATCGTCCAGCTCCGCTTTGGCCTCTACACTGGTTATCCTTTCTTCTGGGTCTGCAACCATTCCTCTGCGCCCAATCTTCTGTTCCTCTGGATTCTCCTTGGTCTTCACTGCCCTGGAGTGGGGGTCTGTTCCCCTTTCATGGCCCTGACCCTCCCCTCTTGCCCATCCATTAATGCACTCCATGGGTGATGTATAATAGGGGAAATAATAATAATTAAAAAAAAGGAATTACTGTATCCCATACGTTTTAGTGGAATTTGGAGAAAGCTTGACAAACACTAATATAGTATTACATAGTTAAGAAATAACTAGTTTTACAAACTCAAAGAATTACTGCTCTGCCATTGCACTAGTGCTGTCCGTTGAATGAGTGATGGAGAGAGAGGGTAGTTCAGATGTGTAATTACCAGATAAGAGGTATTGTGATATGAAAATATTCCTACTACTTGTTTCACTTCTGTTTCAGTTTTTTTTATAACCATTTCTTACTATGTGTCAGTAAGTTGTTGTTATTTTAGCATGTGATTGCAAAGATACTATTTTAACTGAACTGAGCTGGATGATGACATCACTGAATTCAATGATGAACTGCCTTTAACTGAAAAATTTGTGTTTACTATTGTCATTTTGCATTATTGACACACTATTTTCCTAATTAATGCTGTTCAGTTGCTTTGACACAATCTGTATTGTTAAAAGCGCTATATAAATAAAGGTGACTTGACTTGACTTGACGTACTATAAAATAAAGTGCTACCGATAAGCTACTACTGAATATAACATAGAAACTTTCATTTTCTGTAAAGCTGCTTTGCAACAATTTGTATTGTGAAAAGCGCTATATAAATAAACTTGAATTGAATAGACAGAATGGAAATTTGTATTCAAAACTAATCTCAAGCTTTTAGATCAATAGAGGTTTTAAGATCAGGAGAAACATCAACTCAGTCATGCATTCAAACGTTTGTCTGGTATCTATCCTGAGATTTCGGTGAGGCTCGTGTTGTTGGTTTCTCAGTGACCTTGAGCTCTGGATTCTTATGGCTTTTGGCAGGAGCGCCGGACAGGGCCGGTCGTTCCAGTTGAATCGGGATTTGAGAAGCATCGCCCTGTCAAACGTGTGTTGTGTGAGGTGTGAACGCGTGTTTTTTGTGTGTGGGGGGTCAGAGTATCAGGGTTTAAATCCCAGTGAAGATGTTTTTGGCCTTGATCACCGTCCCGATCGATTCCTGGCTGATTCACTCTCAGATATGTCTTATTTTATTAGTAGCTTCAGCCTTCCACAGGCCCATTCACGCGTGATCAATACGACGGCCGGGACGGGACATATTTTTCTCATTTTTAGTGCCTTAACGCTATTTAACCGTGTCATCTGATAAATGAGTGGCCGTCCCAAAACGCTGATTTTCTATTGATTTCTCCCTCAATCTCAACACCCTTTGCCCCATCACTCCTACATTGTTTGTATGTCCAGTTATCTGCCCATATTCCTCCACCTTTAAAAGACTGCACTGTCTGCTTCCTTTACCCACAAACCCATTCAATGTCCGACCAAAGTGCTGCTTGAAGGATTAGTGAAGGAATATTCTTAAAACTGGCAAAACTTTGACATAATAGAGCTTGAAAAGTTATTGCATTTTACTTTTAATGTTAGCAACTCTTTATTCATTTCATGTGCTTCTGATGAATTACATTTGTACATTTAAATTAAACCTACAGCCTGTTTTATGGCTTCTTTAAAAAGTTACAAGGTCAGTTTGAACAGCCCTAAGAAATTAAATGATACGATTAATTAAATAATAAATAATATCTACTATTATTTAATATATTCTTTAGCAGTGTTTGGGAAAGTTACTTTGGTAACACTTTATTTTAAGGTGTCCTTGTTAACAATAAATGATGCATAATTACATGCAAGTAACCCTAAGCCTAAGTCTAACCCTAACCCTAACCATATGTGACCCTGGACCACAAAACCAGTCATAAGGGTCAGTTTTTTTAAATTGAGATTTATATATAATCTGAATAAATAAGCTCTCCATCGATGTATGGTTTGTTAGGATAGGACAATATTTGGCTGAACAACTATTTGAAAATCTGGAATCTGAAGGTGCAAAAAAATCTAAATATTGAGAAAATCGCCTTTAAAGTTGTCCAAATGAAGTCCTTAGCAATGCATATTACTAATCAAAAATTTAGTTTTGATATATTTACAGGAAATTTACAAAATATCTTGATTTTGGGCACAAAAGAAAAATCAATCATTTTGACCCATACAATGTATTGTTGGCTATTGCTACAAATATTCCCGTGCTATTTATGACTGCTTTTGTGCTCCAGGGTCACATATAGTAAGTACATGTAGTTAATTAATATTACTCAGTACTTAAATTTATAATTACACTGTAAGAAGGACACCTTAAAATAAAGTCTAACCATTACTTTTAAAAGTAATGGATTACAATATTGTGTTACTCCCTTAAAAAGTAACAAATTGCATTACTTAGTTACTTTTCATGGAAAGTAATGAGTTACTTTACTTTTGCGTTACTTTTTCTCATCTGGGCTGGATTTGCTTGTTTGTTTTAATATAAAAATATATATTTTTGGCAAATGTAAAAGCCCTTTCACATCTTTCACAAAGGTGGTGAAGGTCAGCAGCAAAGACAAATTAAATTAAATGCATAAAGGATATTTGTTATCTAACATATTTAATTATTAGCGGTTTGTGTCATATTCTGAGTTTGCATTTCACTGTTTTTATTCATTTTGAGGAACACTAAATCTGTTTTTGTGCAAGTGAAATTAGTAAATGCAAGTGCTACAGTAACGTCTCGGTTATGTATTGTAACCCTCGTTCCCTGAAGGAGGGAACGGAGAAGTCACGTCGGTGACCGACGAATTGGGGAATCTCGCTAGAGAGACCAATCTACTTTGAGTGTAACTAAACGAGCCAATGCACATTGGCATGTGATTATTGCATCCAGCTGCCGCTGATCACAGCGTGAGTATAAGTAGGCAGCCGGTGCAGCGCATAATCAGCTTTTCACTTCAGAGCCGAGCCGGTGACCTGGCCGCCCAGCGGTGGTACAGCAGCCGTGGCGACGGGATGTCTCCGTTCCCTCCTTCAGGGAACGAGGGTTACAATACGTAAC